AATGGGAACAGACTATTTCTTACAGCCCATCGGGAGAAATGAGGTTGTCGGTCCATTATGATGTTGTGCCTATCAGGCACCCTGACGATAGTACCTTTTACCAATTTGAAAATGGGGATCTTTTAAAGCAGTATAACAAAACGGACACAAGTTTTTTTACTTATTATCTGGACCAACCCTTCCAGCTCGTTGGAGACGGCAGGACTTTAGATGATCTACGAGATTATGGACGTGTGCTCGTAAAGACCAGGCATCTAGTAAAATCGATAACTGATAAGGAAGGGGAAGTGATGGAATATGCCTATGAATTTGACAATGGGCATAAGATCACCAAAATAATTGGAACATCCAGTCCAAGTTCTCTTAAGCCTAGGAGGTTTGTGAGACATCTGTTCTATCGTTGTGACTAATTAATGATTACTGAATTGAAACATGAGAATTATTAAAAATGCCTGCCAACTTTGGTTGGCATTTTCTTTGTAAAACGTTACCATTGAAGAAAAATTTATGATGCTGGGTGAAACTGGAATAGGTCTTCAGATTATAGCACACCCAATTCGACCTACAGGCAACATATTTGGCAGCCTTATTTCTTCACAAAGCTTTTTGAAGAAAAGTATATTTTCCGGAGCAGATCGGTTGTGGAGAAATACTATGAATAATGTAGCCAATTCCATAAATGAGAATGGCGGAACTGCAACAGTAAGGCAACCATTAGTTAAACAAATTCCATACAATGCTAACATGTGTCAAGAGTAATTGGTTTTTATTATCCATTCCCGCTATATTTTTGGGTACGTTTATTTCGGTTAGTGGTACCTATCTGATCTATAGTTCGGATACTCAGCCGGATTATTTTCCCTATTTGATCCTTAATCTGTTCTATGTTTACTTACCATCACTGGGACTTTCTTGGGTAAGTCTTGCCCTGGTACCTAAACGTCACTTGCAAACCTTCTCACGTTATTTGACAACAGCTGTCATGTTGTTAGTAGTTATACTATCTGTCATCATTGTAAGTAGTTCGCAGGGTACAGGTTTTAAAGAAATTTCTGAACTTATAGCATTCAATACTGGCTATATATATTTTGGTTGTTGTTTTCTCTTTTCATTATTTATATACTATTTATTTATACTTATTTATAGTAGATTTTGGGTCAATTCGGCTAAAAGACATGATATGAGGAAGAAAATAATTAATCCATAAGTACCCCAAATAATTTTTAGGGAAGCCTGATTAAATATTTTTTTGAAATAAACTGACAAGGTTACAATTGAATAAATAAGTTAAAATGAATATCTGGAAATTTCGTTCCATAATTGCCTGGGTTCCCACTTTATTACTTGTGGGATTGCAGGCCTGTAAAAAAGGGGATTCCAAGCGGCCGGACTTTGGGCAGGGCTTGGGTAGCTGCCAGATAAATTCAACTTTGGATAGCATCAACAGCTTTGGCTCCTTCGTAGTGCAAAAGATAAAATATTACTATGATGATCTACACAGGCCGGTATATTTTGAGATTGATACAAGAGGGTTGAGGAAACGTTATAGGTATGAAGGGAATAACTTGGTTTGGATGACTCGTGGTGAAGTTGAGGATGGCTTTGAACCAGATTCGATCGTTCTGGACAATAACGGAAGGATAATCTTTAAAAAGCAGATAGGTGCAAATGGAAGAACGATCAGTTATCATTATAGAAGCAATGATGAATTGTTCCTTGAAGTCTATTCAGAACCATTTTTGGGAATTCAGGATTCCATATCCTATTCTTATGAAAATGGCGATTTGGTGAAGATTATTAGGGGAGGGGATACAACGCTATATACTTATAACCTTTCCGAGAATTTTCAGATTGGTGATGCAAGAGCGTATGGTGATCTCTATGACCATGGGAGGGTTCTGATCAAAACCAAACATTTGGTGAAATCTATGGATGAATTAGGGCAGTACAAAAGTGAATATTTTTACGAATTTGACAAAGAACACAAGATTGTCCGGTGCAGTACTAAAAATGATTTTGGATCTCAGAATTATTCATATTTCATTCGTAATTTTTATTACACTTGTGAGTAGCAAATCAATTTTGAACCGTTCATTTACTGGTCAAATAGTAACTGGCGATTAAGATAATTTAGACACGATTCACCTTCACTAAGCCCGACCAAATTTTGGTCGGGCTTAGTTTTTCTTATTCACACTACCATTTATTGAATTCGTGCATTAAACTTTTATTATTATTTTTATTGAACAATACCCTGCCCTGTAAACCAATAGAGAGCCTAACCTATAGCCTGCACACTGCTCTATTGTTCACCTTAAACTTGCACGATCATGATCCTGCCAAGTCCATATAAGAAACACCAAGTTCCGCCTGAGCTTGTGGAAAGGGCCTATGATAGCCTATTCAGTTCCTTTCGAACTATCGTCCCCCTGTCAACTGTGATAGAAGAACATTTACGTGAGCTTACCCACGTCGTACTATATCAAAAGGATGAGATTGTCTTAGACTATGGGGAAGTCTGCAACTACATTCTTTTTCCTTTCAGGGGAATTATCTTTTCCCTATTTATCAATGAAAAGGGGGAGGAAAAAATTGTTTGGATTATGGGAGCAGGAGATGTGATCATTGCCCCCGATAGTTGGTATTCACAAACGCCGAGCGAAGAGCGTTTGCAGGCCATAAAGGAAACCATCACAGTAGCTTTGAGTTGGGAAAACTTACAGATCCTTAAGGACGAACATCCCGAAATCATCAAGCTTGTGCTGGCCATTACAGAAAGGCATATCCAGCTAATCATTCGGCGCACCAAATGGCAACAGTTCGATCTTGATGAAATGATCGATGATATTGTATCCCTTAATCCGAGACTGTTCCAGGAAGTACCCGCAAAGGACTTCGCCAACTTCCTTGGCATTTCACGGGCGACGCTATACCGCAAGCAGGCGCTGATGAAAAAAATGGGAAAATAAGTTCTAGTTGTTATTATTATCCCAACTATAAATTGTGTCTCATTTGAGACATGCGGTTTAGTTATGCCTATTTATTTTTGTCAAAGAACTTCGAGATGGAAGAGCAGCAGGCTATAGACTGTTCCAGCGAATTTCCATTAAGATTAGGTATCAGCCTTTCCGGTAGGCCATACTTCATTTTTTCTCATAATACTTTAGGTATATAAAGCGCTACTTCGCTGCTTTTTGCCGATGCAACATGGTTTTTCAGCTGTCAGGACTACATAGGTTTGACGACATCAAATACCCTTTGCACCAAAAAAACAAATAGCCAATGATGAAGAATTTTGAGTTAATGAGCGACCTGCAGGACAGGATCGCAGAGATCAAGCAAGAATTCCTACCACCATTATTAGAAGCAGAACAGTGCTACCTGGCTGCCGAAAAATCTTTAAAGAATCTAAAGGTTTTATTTCAAAAGTCGGAGCTGTCTCCTGAGCAGGAACAGGAGTTTTTCAAAAAGATAAAGCCCTGGTTCCTCAGCCAGATGATCTACTATGCCGAGGTTTATAAAATGGAGGCCAACCAGCCTTTTGGACCTAAAAAGCAATTCCGTAAATTCTACATCCGAGAGCAGAAAAAGGTCAGCCAGTTTATCAGTGAACACCAGGCCTTTTACAGTTACCACAAAAGCGGTAGAACTGGTATGGACCATGAATATTTCATGCGAGATCCAGATAAGATCACATCCCCGGATAGTGCCTTTATAGAAGTAGACGAGACCTTTAGCACCTATCACAGCACCCTACTGTCCTTGCTGATAGGCAATGAGCGATTGAATGAGTTCATCGAAGACAAACTCGAAGCCCGTTCCAATTTTTTGGAAGCGCCAAGCTTCAAATCCATGCTCCGATGGACCGGGCAAAAGGTCAAGCTGATAGAACTGGGTTATGCACTCCATGCTATGGGAGTTTGCAATGAGGGAAAGGCAGACATCAAACAGATCATGGATGGATTGGAGATGCTATTCAATATTAAGCTGGGCAACTACTATAGCGTGTTCCTCAAAAAGATCAGACTTAGAAAAAAGAACATGACCATCTTTTTAGATGAACTAAAGGCCTCACTACTGCACCGAATGGATGAACAAGATGCGAATCCGAGGTATAGTTAGTGGCACCATCATCAAATTCCACATATAACCATTTCTAATCTACCCGAGCGGCATGGCACCTGATTAATTCAAACAGGTGACCATGCCGTTTTCTGTTGGTAAGATTCCAACGGAAAAGCCACTTCATATCCACGTGCTTAAATGTGGCCATCCTGTCGCCGTTTTCACTATTCGGGTTCACCGGATTTCAGTTATTGGTCAGGCAAACAAAGGATTTTTTGTGCATGGTGCGATGGACTTTGATCTTGTTCTTATTGGTCATTTGGTACAAGAAAAAATATTCTAAAATTTATTTGGGTTAGCTGGCCCTTCTGGTGTCCTAAGGCCTTTGGAGACACCGCCATATTTGCAATGTCATCGGGAGAAATGGTTCTTCCGAAAAAATGAGAAAGCAGATGTTGGCGATTACCTGGAAAGAATATCTCACGAGCGTAGGACTATTGGTCGGCCTGTATTATGTGGTCGTTTTGATCTGGACCAATAGAATTAAGTTGAAGAAATATATCAAGGGCAAATTGGGGCCTGGC